CCTGAACAGAAAAGCTGGGAGAAAGCCAAACAACCCAATCCAGCTTCCTTACAGTCTTCTGTCATGTCACTTTTGAAAGAAAAGTTAATTTTGTGGTAGCTCTGTCAAACATAAAACACAACCTTGTTTAAACAATGAGCTATCGTTGCTCAAATGTGTGTTTGTGTGGAATATTGTGTGTTACATCTGTTTCTGAAAAAATTTATGTACTGCTCCTTGCAGCTGTTTCAGAATTACTGTTCCAAATCACTACAGAGGAATATGAGAAAACCTTTATTTTTTATGTGGAAACATTACTTCTTGAAAGAAGCAGCATGCGCCTGTAGTTGCAACTTGACAGCCTACACTGAAGCTGTTCCACTACACAAAATTGCACACTGTCTTGCTTTGTTCTCTTAGGCTGTGAAATAAATCTTGAAAGTGAGAGTTAAATAAAAGTTATTTTATTATTATTTTGGCATTCTTTTTGAAGGGGCGGCTGGAATAATGGATACTGCTCTCATACCAAGTAATCTTTCATTTTTCCTGAAGTTCAGTTTCATAACTTTGGAAACCAGAAACCTGTTGAGCTGCTACTTGGAAGCAAATTATATTTAGGTGACAAACCAGCTTGGGGCTGCAGGTGTGGATGGGCAGTTTGGCCTTGTGAATTTCTATTTACTCCCCATTATCATCTCTCTTGACAGTAGTCATTGCATCACTATCGTAAAACATTAGAATGATACAACTGACTTTTTGAAGAATATATCAAAATACATTTTTAGATATGGGAAGTACAAGGGCTTGATAATAAGAATTTTGGAAGTTTTGTAGTACTGTAATAAGCGCTCTGTCCCGTCTATAAAATGGTGATTAAATAACTCAGACCGCTTTTGAGAATGTGAATTGATGGGAACAGGTCTTCACATTTGCTAAAAAGTGGCTCCCATACTGATCTGACTGCTGTCTCTTTTACTCCTAAGTCATATCTGTTGTTGTAAACTGGGAAAGTTGCACAAAAATAGCTGTTTTCTGTTTCTCATTTATTTTTTATGCAGAAACATGTAACATGGTTATGTTTGGCAGGAGACATGGATGGAGAGAAGTCTGCAAGGGTTGTTCAGTCCTGTACAGTCTGTTTTGTACAGATAGACCTGCTGGGAGTTGAAATGTTAGGCAGAACCAAATGTTGGCTTGAGGCTTCTATATGCTTTTCAGGTAGTGGAGTTTTCAGCTTTCTTAAATACGGTGATATTACAGAAGTGGTAGAACTTTCTACTGAGACAATTTTAATTAGCCATTCCGGGCTCTTCAGTTTCTCTTATGGAAGTACTGCAGCAGTTTAATCAAGGCCTTCTGCAAACCAGCAGACTTCATAATAGCAAATCTGTATCAGTGAAAGTGGGTGCTTTGACTACCATGGCATAAACCATGCTGTGGAGCACGGCAGCATGGCAGAGAGACCTGTTAGTTTTCTTTAGTATTTCTTATCCTGCTAAAGTGACAGTAGTGAAGTGTCAGGGGAGTGCCCAGAAGAGCTGAGACCAGCTTCTCCTCTTAGCAATGATGTTTTCCAAAGTAATCTCAGCGCCACTGTTTAAAATTCACTGGTGTCTTTTGCAAGGGGGAAGGCTTTTTCATTGTTGCTTTCTTCCAGCTGCTCTAGACCTGCTTTTTCTATGGTGATTATGTGATCAGCCAATTCACACTATGTAGATAGAAGATCAGATGATGGAATGTCTGAAGACTTTGTTAATCATCTAGTTAACTTAAATGTTGAAGAAGACATCGCTGTCCAAAACTTGAAGCTTTTTTTTGCTCATAGTTACGCTGTATGGGAAGTTCCTCAAGTAAACTGACATCTGTAACTTCTCAGGGAGAAACTGGAAAAGGTCTTATTCCACAGTATACTTCCATTGACCAACTAGGAAAAGGGGAAAAAAGATCTGTTGGAAGTTGCCTTTACATTAGCATCTAGACACCCAGTACATAATTATAATGAATAATTGTGAACGTGTTCTATGGAGAACATGGGCTGTGGTAATTTTTTTTGTATTTCAGTCACTTAGTAATTTCATTTTTTTGCCAAATAGTGAAGAGTCTGTAAACTTCTCAGGGGGCTAGAGATCATATGTTTTTGTGTACAAAACAAAAAATATGTTCAGAGGCTAATCAAGAAAACACTTATTTTAGTCAGTTAACTATGCCATTATGGATGAAGAAGTTTAGGGTCTTTATTCAATTCTAGACTTCTCTTTATAGTAACTTTCTCAGCTGTCAGCCATAATTATACCTGCAACTGTTAGAACATTTACTGTTTGAAAACCAGGGAGAGCTCAAGTGAATTTTTGGCATGTTCTTCCTTTCCTGCCTCCTTCCAGTGGTGGAAAGGAACATGTATCAAAATAGATGAATACAGGAAATGTGTGAGAATTGTTTATGTTGGTACCTCCGGTATAGAAGAAATCTCTGAAAAGTCCCTAGGGAAAGCCTCTCTTATCTGTGTTCTCTCCAATTTGGTAATTAGTTTTTAATGACTGAACAAATCCATATTTTGAAATGAAGTAGGCTTTTTCTGCTTTAAAAGACAGTTTTTGGCAATGTGCTTTGCTTACAGTTTATAGGCCAGTCCTTGAAGGAAGTGTTGCAGAAAATTCTCTGTGCAGCTGGTCCACTTCTGGCATTAGAAACGGAGGCCAAGAAATGAGGTGAAGGATGTGGCATCTTCCAGGGAGTGGCTCAGGAGAGGTTTTTTTGTCCTATTTGTGGCTGTTTCTTCTGTGTAAATAAGTCTTCAGAGATATAGTAATCTTGAATTTACTGGAGGTAACCTTGAAGGTTTTGTTTGTTTATAGCATTTTACAAAAACTTGTTGGGAAGGAGCGAAACAACTATTGTGGCAAAGATTCCTTGTAAAACATCAGGTTTGTGTATTGCTGCTGGAGGACAGGTGATGATGGGTAGTGTGTCTGTTACTAAGAGTCTGAGTAAAAGTACATGTAGCAGCGTAAAACCTATTATTCCACTGCGAATTACATTGTATTATTTGTGCTAGCCTATAAGAATGGGATTAAAACCGTGCAACCAAGTGGTGGTTTTTTCCCAGCTTATCAGATAGAAATTTAAAGTCCTAAGGAATAAAACTCTGGATCATGACTGTATCTCTCAACAAGGCTCTCTGTACCTCTGCTCTAGGTCTTGGAACTCTGGCTGAGACTGGGGAACGGCAGGGAGCTGTGCTCTGTTATGTACATGGGGTGAGGCAGCACTTGACCACAGAATACCCTGAAGGAGTCTACTAGTGTTTGAATGCAGCCATACAGAGGTTAAAAGGCAGCCTGACAGCCCTGTTGGATTAGTATTTTCTTTCTGCCTCTCGATCCAGCATTTCCTCCAACTGCCAAAGAATTTGTTGAGCTGTGTGGTGCTACCCAGAATTGATCTAGTGATTACTTTAATGGTTGGGGCATCTTTTCCTCTATAGGCTGCAGGTGTCAGAAACCACTTTTGCAATCTGGCAATGTATTCTGTCACATTTGATTCTCCCCAGATCAGACAATTTATATGCTACCACAACAGCCTTTGTGCCTTATTTAAAGTTTGCTATTGTAGAGTATTATAAATGGATAAATGAAAACCAGTTTATGCCACAGTGGGATATGATGGACTCCACTCCCTTATGGATCCCTGTACGGTCTCAAATTATTTATCTACATCTGCCTCATCCTCTCTGAAATCAGCTTATGGAGGTGGTTCAGGGGTGCCTTCAGGAGCTAAATTTCGGACAGCAGTAACAGCTTTTCCTAATGCAGTAGTTGTGGCTAAGAAATCCTGAATCAGATCAGCAAAGTTACTTGTAACGACCATGTGTAAGTTATGAGATTACCTTTTCCAAGTATGAATCTAAAGTTTTTTTAGTAAATTGTAATAAATCATAAATTTCTGGAAAGAAATCATAAGGTGGGTCATGAATGTTTGCTAAAGCTTGTTTTACTACAGGATTCATAAAAAGACGATCATTACAAGTGGAGGAATTAGGAAGACAGAAATACAGTGAAGAAATATTTGTAATACTTGAGTAAGCATCTGAAAAGTTCATATAGAAACTCCAGTAGAAAATTTCCAGCCCCTTTTGTGCCTCCCAGCTGCAACAGAGCAGCCAGCAATGGGAGTCATATGTAGTCCTGGGTACTTTGGTGAAGGACCAGAAAAAAATCATGAGTCAATAAATGCAGAACATATTTTCGTATAACATTTTTTGTGTTAAAGATGATATTATTGCCAGGAGATGATTGAAGTAAACTGTTGTTTGCTCAGTGGTATAGCAAAAGCTGCTACTTTGATGATAAAAGACCATGTAGCATTTGTTTTCTTTAACCTGTCTGTGCTGCAGGAGTGTTTGGTTTGTGAAATTTAGCTATCCAGGAGGTCAGTGATGATGAAATAGTCTGTATTTGCCTAAAGCAATGTAATGAAGGCCCTCCTCTCTGTACTAGGAATATAAGCTGTTTGTCTTGCTTTTCAAAGTAGTCTGCTTCCTCCTCTCCCTAGCTGTTGTCTCTTGCTCAGTCCCAAAGAAAAGATCAATTTCTGCCTCTCCCTGTGATTGTGAAGCTGAGCTGTATTGCTTACTTGTTTTTCAAACAGTGTTCTCTCCATGTGGCCTCTCAGGCTTCAAAGCAACCCTCCAGAAACATTCACAAAGCTTTCTGCTTGCTTCTTAAGGTCTTGAAACAGTATCTGCAAACGCTTGAGGAGAGCTAATGCTTATGAGGTGCTTTGGTTTTGAATACTAAACACACTATGATGTCGTTTTGTTTCTTTATTCCTTCATTTCCGTATCTCCTTTCACATGCTTAACTCTTTTGGCAGATACTGCTTTTTGCACTGACTCAGAGGTAATGCTTGTGGCCCCTCAGTAGTATGGGCCATAAGAGCTTGTGTGTTTGTCATGGTGTTTAAAAAAGTATTGTAATAAATAGACCATTAAGTTATTAATGTATCTGTTTTATCTTCCACAGAAGCTCCTTGTGCTACTCCACTGATCTGTAGCTTTGGAAGGCCAGTGGACCTGGAGAAGGATGACTACCAGAAGGTTATATGCAACAACGAGCACTGTCCGTACAGCACTTGGATGCACCTTCAGTGCTTCTACGAGTGGGAAAGCAGCATCCTCGTCCAGTTCAATTGCATTGGCAGAGCCAGGAGCTGGAACGAAAAGCAGTGTCGCCAAAACATGTGGACCAAGAAGGGATATGACCTGGCTTTTCGCTTTTGCTCCTGTCGGTGTGGGCAGGGTCATTTAAAGAAGGACACTGACTGGTACCAGGTGAAACGAATGCAGGATGATAAGAAGAAGAAATCAGTGTTGGAGAAGAGTACGGGGAGGTCCGTGGCGGAGTCAGCAGAGGAGGCCAAAAAGGGCAGGCCAGCCAACAAGCCCCAGAAAGGCTTGAGTAATGACCTCCAGCGAAGGCACTCGATGGACAGGCAGAACTCCCAAGAGAAGGGTGTGATGGGCGGCAGCTACGCCGTTCGTTCACCTTGTGTCTCTCCTGGCCAATCCCCGCCCACCGGCTACTCTATTCTTGCCCCCACGCACTTCAGTGGGCCTCGTTCCTCGCGATACTTGGGAGAGTTTTTGAAGAACGCCATTCACCTGGAGCCCCATAAGAAGAACATGGCTGGTGGGGGCATGTTCAGGAATGCACATTTTGATTACGGGACAGCTGGCTTGCAAGCACATAGGTCAGGACACTTCGATGCTCCTGTGCAGTTTTTGAGAAGGCTCGATCTATCTGAGCTGCTCACCCACATCCCCAGGCATAAATTGAATACTTTCCATGTGCGGATGGAAGATGATGCCCAGGTGGGCCAAGGGGAAGATCTTCGGAAGTTCATCCTTGCTGCTCTCAGTGCCAGCCACAGGAACGTTGTAAACTGTGCTCTATGCCACAGGGCGCTGCCAGTGTTTGAACAGTTTCCGCTGGTGGATGGGACCCTATTCCTTAGCCCATCAAGACATGATGAGATTGAATATGATGTTCCCTGTCACCTTCAAGGTACAGGTTGTATGTCAGTCATGCTAGGTTTCATTAAATGATGGAACTGCCTTCTGTGCCCTGTACCCCTCCATTATAGATTTTCATCCCGATTCTGCATTTTTAAGGAGTTCAGTAAAGCCTAAAGTAACGTCCAAAGTACTTGCGTGGATCAAATTGAAACACGTAGAAGGAATTACAAAAAAACAAATACTCTGTAGGAACATCCATGCCTTGTGTCTGTGTTTACAACTAAAAGATTTCTTTTCTGATTTCTGGGTAGACCATGGGAATGTTTTCCAGCCAATCCGTTCTGCATGCTCCTTTATGTGTTGAGAACTTCAAGATACACATCAACCTTTTGAATTTAAGAATGCAGTGCTGTAGCATGGGTGAAAGTTGTATTTGTACCACTGATGAGGGTGAGGTGCCTCTCATCTGCTTTCAGACCAGAGAATATCAGTTTTGTTTTATAGCAAAGTATTATTTTTTTAATATGGAAAAGACTATAGTCTGGCCTATGTTAATACTGGCCTGAAGAGGCTGGACATAGTAAAGGTAAGCTTTTAGTGTGGTGGGTTGAAGCAGCAGTGTAGTAGTAAGGGTTTTAGACTTATTTCCAAACTCCCACCGGTTTGAACTGTGTCCTGATCATTTCCCAGCTCTGAGATGAGACCAAGGCATGTGTTTTTTTTAATCCTCCTAGAGAAACAAATGAATGTAGGCCAGCACAAGCTTCAGGTGTTCCTGAAGCTAAGTGATCAGGGTGGTAGACAGCTAGATATGCCTGTCCTGCAGCCTACTGGCAGCCAGCATGGCTAAAATAAGAGAGAGTATTCATAGTTTGGAGTTTAAAAGCATAGAATTATATCTTGAAAAGCATGTTGGTAAGTGATTAACAGGAGGAATTTTAACACTAAAGTTTCTCACCTTTCAGTAAAATTTTGTATATCCCACACACGGTCATATGTGTTATGTAACATTCCTTTGCTCAACAAAGTTTGTATTTTATTTTTTTCCTTTCTTTAAACCACTGTGCAGTAAATCACTAAACTGTATTCATGCTGACATTATTGTTTCTGTCTTGCCTAATATACTTCAAAGAGAAAAAACAATAGGCAAATATACAAGCTAAAAAAGTTTGAGGATAAACAGAATATACATATGTGAGATAGCAGTGCTTATTTGCTTTGGTAGGGGGTCAAGCACAAGGTGCTTGTCATTTTATCAGTACTAATAGCTGGTTTAGTAGTAGTGAAACTCATCGTTTGTTAATGTTTGCCACTAAGAATGAAACTGTGAAATTTTCCTTTTTGTAATTAATTCCTCCTTAACCAGTGGATGATATATCTGGATACATATCTGAAAAACCTGCTCAGACAAGTTGCTGTGAATAATTAATTGTTAAAATTTTTGCCTCCTTGTCATGGGTAAAATGGTTTGTTATCAGTAGTGCTCTTTGAAATGAAATCTTTAAGCTGTAAGGTGCTGTTCTAGACTGTTACTTTCTTTTAAGTACAGAAAATAACTTATTTTATTTCAGGTGTGTTTAAGATACCAGGTGCCTTATTTCCTTTATAACAAGGATGTGGAAAATTAAGTGGTAGGGGAATGTAGTATCTTAATGTGCAGAAACAGTGCAGAGCCTCAGATGGGTAAAGTTATGTATCTTCTGTCACAACCCAGCTTCTATGTGTGGAATTATTTGAACATCAGCAATCTCAAGTGCTCACTTTGGGAACAGAGGTTATTATATTTGCACTTTAGTCTCATTGCATCATGTTTTCTAGAGCCAAACATGCCAGTGTGGAATAACTCAATTTTTACCAGTTCATACTAGCATGTTTACTTAGTATATATATTTTAAGAAGAGTCTGGGTTTTCTTCTTGTTTTTCTAAAATAGTTGGCTTAAAAAAAAAAAAACCAAGTTAAACCCCAAACTATTAATTTCAGAAGCATCTGATATAGACTAATCATAAATTATTAGTATTTTGTTCCCATATATCTAGAAGAGATACAAGGTGTGTGTCTGTTAAATTACAGTTTGTGATGTGTTCTGTGCTTTGGTGCTAAAGAGCACAAATTGCAATCCAGAACAAACACACATTATACACAGTCCTGTTATGTTGCTGATCTGTAACCGCACTACTGCTTAGCTTTGTATTTTGTAGCAGCACAAAATATGGTATGGTACAGAATTAGTACTCTGTATCAGCTCACTTCTAATAGCCAATTATTAAACTACAAATCAATTTAGTCATTACAAATCAGGCATAATCTGTGTGCCAGATCTTTGTAATTTGTGTAGGTTTTTTTGTTTTTGTGAGATTTATTCTCAGATTTTGCATTGGTGAGTTTATTCACATGCATGTAGTGAAAATATTTGGTTTCCAAGTCTGAGACACTTGTTTTTTTTGAAAATAAATACAACTCAGGCTTTGAAAGTCATTGTGCATACAGAGCTCAAAGTCATGATAGCGCTCAATATATTTCATAGTTCTGAATGGCATGTTAAACTCTGTGTAATATGTAATGTTTTTAAATATTCTTCATGGTCAGAAGAAAATACATGAAAAAAAAATTGCTCTTCTAACTCTTCCTTTTTCTATGGGGATTATTAGATCCTTAGTTCCCTCTTTGCTGGAAGATTCTGGCAAGTTTTTAAATGAATCTGTACCAAGTTTGCTAGTAAGTTTCAGCACTTCACTTCTGTCAGATGGGGATGAAGCTAGGGCAAAATCCTGGTTTTGGGAACACATCAGCTGATCTTACAGCTTAACCTGGCATCTGTTCTTGGAGGTTTAGCAACTCCTTTTATAAAATATTTTGCTAAGTTCTACCAGCAAATGATGGAAGGGAGAGTGGGCAGAGTGATGACTAATTCCTGAGTTCTGCATCTGTGGAAAATAGCTTCAGTCAAATCCTATGTATTTCCCGTAGAGAACCTTTCTATACTTTTATCATTCATCCTTTATAAGGAAAAAAAAAAAAGGTGTGATTTGTATCACTAAAGATCAGATAGCACATTGCAGAAAATGTCTGTTTTAATGTTTTGATTTGTCTCATGAAGACATGTCTTTCCTGTCCACAGGAAGGCTTATGCACCTCTATGCTGTTTGTGTAGACTGCTTAGAAGGGGTTCACAAAATTATCTGCATCAAGTGCAAGTCCCGATGGGATGGAAGCTGGCATCAGCTGGGAACTATGTATACCTATGATATTCTGGCAGCATCTCCCTGTTGTCAGGTTAGTACTATATGTAAATAAGACTCACAAGGTGAAATTGCTGATGATGATAAAGTGAAGGTTTGTGTATCTCTTCTCCCTTCCCTCCTTCCATCAGCTGACTGGGTCCCTGTCCCTTTGTCTTAAGAGGTACAATGGCCTGTAGCTAGACAAAAGCCATTGCAATGGTCAATGGTTAATGCTTATGTTTTTAAATAAAGCCCCCTTAAATGCATTTGCAATTAAATCCAATGCTGCATCACTAGCATCAGATATAATTCCACATTTTCAGCAGATGTTTCAGGTTTTCAGGTTTTTAGTTCATAAATCATGTTTTATCATAATTGTAGCAAAAAAGCTCCAAGAGAACAGAAAGGTCTTAAGTGTCTTCATGCTTGGAGGTTACTCAGCTCTCCTTAATCTTTGTTGTACCTCACTGGTGATAGTGCTTCATCCACCACAGCTTGAAGCAACTTAGTTTTTATTAAATGCTCACCTAATCTATACTTTGAGTTAGGAAGATCCAAGGCCTGGGGCTGCTCCAGAGTAGACATGTGCCGAAGACAGCAGGTTAGTCAGCATTCAACAGAATTATCTTTGTGATGGACAGAGCACTTCTGCTGTGCAGGTAGGGGTAGACAGCTGTGAAAAAAGCATTTGTCTGGGAATGAACTCAGTGGTCCACTCCAGATGCTCAGACACAGAGGTGTTGTTGGTAGGCTAGGACAGGAGCCTCACAGAGATGGACACTTTCAGTCTGTGCTTGCTTCACGGTGATGTGCATACTTAAGAGCAGTCTAAAATACCATTTTGTCAATATGAAAAATGTCAGTTTATTTTAAATCTTAACATATTTACCAAAATGTGTTGCTTGAAAGACAGGTGGTGTTTCTGCTGCTGGTTAAGATGACATTGATGGCAATTATAGCTACAGACAGATACATTACCTCCAAATTTAACATCCATTGAAAATGTAACTTAAAAAGATAGGGACTTATAGGGATAAAACACTGATGCTGACTTGCTGTCTTTGTAAAAGGCAGCAACTTTAAATCTGAATTGCTTCTCTAGAATGTATAATACAAGAATTAAGAGCTCATTATACAAGAGCCTTAATTACATGATTAATGGACAGTGTGACAGTACATGGTATCAGAACTGATTCTAAAATCATTAGCTGCAGTGACTGTGATTGCAGATAATACACATTATTGTTTCACCATGATTGTTACAGGTGATTCCATGCATACAGAGGAATGACATTTAAATATGGTATATGATTTAACTCCATATCAGCCTTGCTGATTTTATTATGAATAATTTCATGCCTTATTTCAAAATATTTAATTCTACACCACAAATTTTCATGAAGGATAAAGCCACTGTCACTAAAAGCCACTAAAGCCACTAACACTTAGCTGATGTGCTGGACAGTAGCAAAGGAGAAAACACTTTTGCTAAGAAATTAATAAAAATTCATAATCTAGTAGATTGTACTTCTTAGAATTTCTGCTTTTCAAGCAGAGCAGATGGCTGTGAAGCTGTTGATTAGTTTCTTTCTGAGTCTGGTCTCAAGAGGCATAGTACTTCAATAATTTTTTCCTCTCCTCATCCAGGAAAATCCCTTAAATCAAGATGGCCATAGACAATACTTTTTTGTTCTTTTCAGTGAAGAGCTGAAGCTTTCATTAGCGTATTGGGCTGCGAGGTTAAGCTACAGTACAGCTCAGGCCCTTGCTGCTTTTTTGCCACCTTTACTCTTAAACTCCTTTACAATCTCAAATCCCTTCTACTGCTTCTGAAAAGGCCTGCTGAGCTTTCATGCTGCCTGTTGCTTTCTTTACATCAGATGGGCTGTGTTTCTCAGCTAGATTCCTTCCAAAGACTCACTTTTTCTGTAACAGCTGAATATTAATACCTCTATCTGTCCTCCCCTTTGACCTTTAATTATTTCTCATATCCACCCAGTTAATGTTGCTTCTTTCTCACTTGATTCTGTAGAATAGGTTGTGTGCTTGATGTTTAATTTGTATATCCTGGTAAGTGTTATAAATGTTTAAATAGCTACTTAAGGTGACTTAATACCGTGTTGTGCTGATAAAGTAAATCGAGTTATACGTTTGTTAAGCCAAAAGATTAAAATACTGATATATTTCATGGACAGATGATGTTCAAGCGTCAGCTGAAATTGTTGAATTGCGTGGCACAAATATAAAATTTCTCTCTGTGCTTTGGGGCTTCATTAATAATTTATTGAGACAGCACTTCTTGTGCTGGAGATTGAGGAATTGGTTCAGAGATTAAGTAAAACAAAACAATCATTTGTGTACGTAAACCTTGAAATTCTCTGCCTCCCGTCAGTCAGAGTGGAATGTGACCTACTCTCAAAATTTTGTGATGATATTTAATGTGAAATATGTGGTGCATGCCTGTGAGTTACCAGTCCAGGTGAGGAATGTCCTTGCTAGCAGATCCCATTACTGCCGATTTCCTGACTGACCCATTCTCCTACTGGGGAGGGCAAGGGGCTGCCTCTGTCACCTTCCTTTTCCAGAGGTGAGTTTGGTTGTTTCAGAAGTGGTTTTTTGTTTGTTTGTTTTTTACAGGCTCGACTGAACTGTAAGCACTGTGGGAAGCCAGTAATAGACGTACGGATTGGCATGCAGTATTTCTCTGAATACAGCAATGTCCAGCAGTGTCCTCACTGTGGAAATCTAGACTACCACTTCGTGAAGCCATTTTCTTCATTTAAAGTTTTGGAGGCTTATTGACGAAAGCTTTGCTTTAGTAATAGCTATTTTATGGGTATTTCAACTTTATTACATATCTTTTTATAGGATTCATTCTGTGATGAAATTTAATTTCTTTTCTAACTGAAAGAGCAGCTTCTTTGTCAGTGTACATATTAATATGTATATATATATATATATGTCGTTAAAACAAGAATCCTCCTGACAAGATCTCTGTGAAGGTTGGAGGCAAGCCAATTTAATGGCCTTTGAATATACCCCAAGTGTGGGGTAAAGATCAGCTAAAAATTATTTGGATTTATTTTTTTGTATAATTGTAATACAGTTTATAGCAAGGGTGTGGGGAGACATACGGGACAGAGAAATATGTCCAGTTGAAAAATGGGTAGGGTTGTTCCTCCAGCTTGGTGAAAATGGGAAATCCTTGGAAAGAAATGGTTCTTTTACTGCTGAATTCATTCAGCCCTTTGCATCGGTCCCCACAGGCGCAGGAGCTGGCCCCGTGCTGCCGGTGCCGCCAGTCCCCTCAGCAGGCTTTCTTTCAGATTTCCCGAAACGGGGGGTAAACTAGGGTATCATGACAAGTGAATGTAAATGTATGCCAGCAGATGCAATCTTGAATGAGGTTTTTTGTTTTGGCATAGCATCTTCCTGCTGTGTGTGTTTGATGTGCGTTGCCCTCACGGCAATAGTGCTGCTTCCAATGGGGCTGTCATGTGCCCAGCTGGGTCATCTGCTCATACCAAAACAAGCTGGAGATCTTAAAACGCTTTATTTAAAGGTGTTTTCTTCACAGACATTTTAGGGAAGGAACTGGCTGAGCTGAGTGGGTATGTGTTTGTATGTGCCTGCTGGGGCTGAGGCTTTGCTGCCTGCTGCGGACTGGTGTGACTGATGTGGAAGGAGAACCATGAAGTCGGATCTGGGCCCTCAGATCTGTAAGAGCTGAGAGGTATTGAATGTACAAAACATGGCATCACTTTTTAAAACAATTAATTGCTGCATCTTCATCTTTCAGAATTGTGTTCAGTTTAGGATCTAAAAGCATGGAGGCATTTTAAGAAAGCAAACTTAGCATATTTACTTTCTACATGCCTCTGTGCTGCACATAACAGACTGCATTAGGGAGTGCATTCGTATCAGAGAGTTTGGCCCTGTAGATTCTGCAGTTGTTGTTTCTTGATTCCCATTTCTCCTTTCCTTAAATAAATTTTTTTAAAATAGGTCATTAATCTTTTGCTTGGTTTCTCAAATCAGTTGAGACTTATGGAAGATTTGGTTTTTTTGCTTTTCTCCGTAGTGTATTTATGGAGTGTTTGTCCAGTTTAGAAGTATGAGGGTTGTTTCTGTTTACAAGGTGGGATTATTTTTTTTCTTTTTTTTTTTTTTTTTTCCTGTAAGTTTTTTTGTTTTTCAAATTAGAATCTTTTTTAAGAATGTGTCTGTCAAAATCAGTCTTGTAAATGGCCCTGATACTCTGCCACGCTGGGAAAGAAAACAAAAAAGTCAGAGGCCAAAAAAGTGTTTTTCCTATATGGGACTGGGAATTATGCTTTCTGCTAATTTAAAAAAGGAACACACGCACATAAAACTCAAGCTGAATACCCATGTTTCTTTGTGTGTAAAAATGCCAAGTTCACAGTTTTATTTCCTGGCTATCTTCACTGCAGAATTAGCTCGTTTTAGCATTAGCTACTCTTTGAGTAATGCTCAAGTTGCACAGAGGGCTTATGTGGGCACAGGTGACTTCCTGCTAACTTGAGTGGTAATGTCCTTAAAAGCCACGCAGCTCATGTGATCCATTGCTGGTCTAAACAGCGGTGTTAGCAGGCTGTGGTAGCCTTTCTCACTGGTGCTCTTCTCCTTCAGTCCTCACTCCTGGGCTTGGTTTTGGGTTTTGTTCAGTTGTCCCCTGTTTGTGATAGTTTTGGGAAAACCTGTTTCCTCTTCAAGGAGAATTATGGAAGGACTTGAGAGACTTCTAACACTGTCCCATGACTACCATGATGTTACACCAAGCCCAGTTGCAGTGGGACCAGCACTGTAAAAATTGTTTATAGGAACAGAAGCTGGCCTGGGCATACCTGGGCTGGAAGAAGGTTTCTGCGAGATAAAACCCAATTAGCTGTGCAGTGTAGACTTCCCTTATGGAGGGCAGTCAAATTATAATTTGGATTAACTCCTTGGGAAGGATGAGCCCTTCAGCTTTGATGTGCATCGAGCAGTCTCATGGAGTTGGGGTGGCTATCAAGCTTGGAGTTGCGTTGCCTGGCAGTACCATGAGAACCAGACCAGACAGACGATGGCTAGACTGTCCCAGCAGCCTGAAATCACGCAGCAAAGATAAAACTCCTGTAATGAGAAAAATTAAAGGATACATCTCTTACTGTAGTGTTCGGTCTTGAGTGCCAGTCACACATGCCAGGAATGTGGCGTGTTACTTCCCACGTAGGCTAATGGTGTTGTATGCCCACTTTTTCATGCACTGGTGAGGGAAGGTGTCACTGTACAATGCACATGGTAGGGGAGAAGTGGTATCTGGAGTCCTAGATACTTGTTCACTTGCTTCCCTTAGAGTAGCTTAATTTATAACTCTGTCCTTTAAGTTCTTAGTTGTCTCTCTAGACGTGTATGTGTGACAATCGAGAACGAGTGGATGTGGAGAAAAGGGAATGTGGCCAGCTTTAAAAACACAAGTGTATGGGAGATTGTACAGTATATCCCAGTCAAAAGTTGGAATGGAGCAGACTGAGAAAATGGGAAGGGAAAAGCATATTTAAAGTCTTAGCAGTGACAAGGATTTACATACAAATCTATCCAAGAAAACAATTTAGTTCTCCATCAGCTTTTCCTTTTAATTCTGTTGTTAAGTGAGTCTTACCTGCTGCTTGAGGAAATGCCTATTTTCTTGCAAAACACTCTCAACTGGAGGCTAGCAGCACACATAGCACTGTAAAAATGATCCCTGATGGAAACCTTCTGAGCTACAGAAAGATTCCTCTGAATTTTCACTCCAAAGTAAATTGTCCCTAATTTGTAGAGGCTTTCCCTGCTTCTTGCTCATGCTGAAACCTGTTCTTGGGTTACTGCAAAATGCAGTATTTTCTTTAACATGTAAATTCCGGTCAAGGAGTCAGCCCCTGCCTCTGGCCATGAGAGTTTTGCCTAAGTAGAAGGGCAAATGTAACTTCTTTGGGACCTAATGGCTACTTTGGAGGTTAAACTAGACCACAGTTGGCTTTGCTTTCTGTCTTGACAAGCACTGGAAGTAGTCATGAGCTTATAAATGCATCAAAAGGGAAATTACTTCCCTAGGGAGCTGCTTGCTTTGCTTGTTCAGCTAAAGTTTATTCTTCGTTACCTTTCATTTTTCTGGTGCTGTGTGGTTTTTTTTTTAAGCTGGCCTGTGGTCAGATTAAATTTGCCTGAAATATGTTTTGTATACGAGAATACAGTCCAAACCTCCAAACCTCTGGATTTGGAGGTTTATTCTACTCCCCTTAAGTGCACGTTACTCCTTGTGATAGTAATAGGAGTTGCATGTGCAAATGCTTTTCTTTCCAGTAGTTAACTCTCCTTTCCATAGGAGAGGCTTGCATTTAGATAGATTTCATATTTTGGATGTGTAAAAATGATTTCATCCATCAGTAGGATGTCTACAAGTAAATTTTGATAACCATAACTAACCAAATGGACATCTTTTACATGCTGATGTGTAATTTGACATCTACCAAGGTGAACAACCTGCAATTGTTGTTCCATCTGATGCTGCAGAGTCATTAAAACTACAGTGTTCTGTAGCCAGCCCATAGACTATCCTATAGTCTATTTCATAGAATCATAGATATTTGCATTAACAGCTCTAGTAGTGAGCAGTGTATTCATGAGTTCAATTGGGAAAATAGGGAATATTCCTACAATGGAGGCATCTAACCCAGTTTCTTTCTTTTTTTCCCTTTTTTTTCCCCCATGTACTCTTCACTTTGCTGTACCAGGTAACCAAGGACAAACATGTTGTAAGGCCACTGGTGAGAAAACCCCTCGAAAATATACTTGTCCAAAAGGTTCCTTGTTGAGACATTCTTGGATTGCACTTTTGCAGATGGAAGAATATGTACATAGCAAATGAATGTTGATGAAATTAAAATAATTGGTTATGATATCATTTACATGTGTTGTTAGAGAATATTTTGTTGTGGCTTCTCTGTATTAAAAAGTAATAAATACCAGACAGCTAATAGTGTTGGTTCTTCTTTCCCTGTTCTTCTCTGAACTAGTTTCTTACACCTGCTCTTTCTAGAATTATTCTAGTTGCCTTAAGTTTCAAGGGCACAATAAACCCAGGTTTTTGGGGTCCGTTAAAATGAAGCTTTATTGTAGTAATTTTCAAGACTGCTGTCCTAAAAGAGTGATGATGGGGGATGTGATGTGCCACCTTGCCAAACTGAAGTCCTCTTCACTTTGTTGACATTAGAAATGCTCGATCTGTAGCACAGCGTGTGTCCTGTGGGAGCTGTTTCAGGAACACCTGTGTGCTGTGCCAGATGTTGCCAGTGGGGCTGCATAGAGGACAGTGTGCAGAACCCTTCACTTCTGGCTGAGTCTGTTAATGGAAATATGCCCTCTGGTGCCTGTGAAATATCGGAAGGGCTTCTGGAGGGGAAAACACAATGCAGTAGCACTAGGGCAAAAGGGTTTCCTGTGTTATGACTGTACATTAATCTCTGAAACCCAGTTGCAAGGGAGGGGACCTCAAATCCTTGCTTTCTGTGCCAGATTTTTCAGCAGTCTGCCTAATCGTGGAATCATGCATTTTAGCAAACCTTGCTCCATATGCTTACAGTGTGATTTTTCAGCCTTTGCATATTACCACAGAGAAGTTCAGGAAGGATGTAAATGATCATGGCCATCTGGACATACAAAAGGTAAAGCAAATACTGCTGGGAGGGGAAGGAGGGCCTGAGCTCAGGAGAGATGAGGTGTGATTTGGAGATTTGGGAACACTAAAAGAGCCAGCTGTAGCTGTGCAGGTTTAATTTTGGAAGCAGATGCCATGGCTGATTTGAATAACCTGACACTGACAACCTGTATGTTAATTGTGTAAAGCACTCTGGATAGCTGCTGCTTAAAATATGAGTATTTGTTCATGAGGTAAAAATATAAATAAGCTGCTATCAGCTAATTAATTGCTAGTGAAAGCAGTGATTCTGTATTGATATTTTACTGAAATGATAATGGGTCATGGTTTAAGGCTTAAGCCTATGTGGGAAAACTGAATAATAACTAGTATTTCAGAGAACCTGTTCCCCTAGCTTAATTACTGCAGTCCTTGGTACTGAGTACTAAACTACAGAACGTGAGGTTAGATCTTCTGTGATACTGTGTTGCTAAAAGAAACTGAATAGCATAGTGAGAATGTAGAGAAAGGAAAATATCTCAGAAAAGAAAGCTTTTCAAGCTGTTACATGATATGTGGTATGTAGGTAAAATAGAGGTGGCACAGGCAGATTGGGTTAGGAGCATGCCTGGGCTCATATTCCTGCTGGAGGCATCCCTGATGGTGTCAGAGGAGGGGAATGAACTATTCAGGCTGCATACGTGTGTGGGTGTTTGCACCTAAAAATACATATCCAGGTTTCACACAAATATATTTGTATTTGATTTCTATTCTGACAGTACTCTGTGCAACAATTTATGTTCATTCTGATGCTAGTAAAACCTGGCCTTATGAAACAAAACCTGCTTTCCAAAACAGCTGCTGCTGCAGTGTTTTGTTGTTGACTTGCAACATTAGTATTTTTTGGCCTTAAATACATGTATTAGTCACTGAATTTCTTTTACTTTTCATTCAGTGACGTCCAACCACAATCAATGGGATGTGGAGAGAAGCTAAAGCAGCTGGTATAGCTCCTTAACCCACAGACCACCTGATCCCAAGCTCGCAGAGCCAAACCAACTGTGGTAGCATCCAGGAGGAACTCCTGAGTCATGCTTCAAGAAGAAATTTGCTCATTCTTTCTACGAAGAAACTACTTTCCTTTTTGTAATGTACCTGCCTGAAGTGCTGTATGTTCGAGAGTTTGCATTTGGCTCCATTATACACTGTAACCCTGAAGCTACTCCCTTTTGTTAAACATGTACTGCACTTGTTTACTTGTGAGAAAAACACACATGCAGATCCTATCCATCTTACGGCTTGTGTATCTCATTTTCCTTGCTACATACTCATTTAACAAGCAGTCTGTCAGGATCTTTGCAGAATAAAATTCTCCTTGGTTATCCAGATAGGGTTAGAGAATAACAAATCAGTGCTGCCTTTATAGGATGCCTGCATGGCTTTTACTAGTACAAGAATGGTAACTGTGGAATGGAGTCTGTGGAGATAGAATGTAATCCAGCCATAAAAATCAAGGGGACTTAAATAATAATACATATTGCCAATCACCAAATACTTCAGCCTTTTTTTCCTTGGTTTTTTTTTTTTTTTCAGGGCCTGAGCTTTTAAATGAGTCTGGCTCCAACTGAAGTAATACCTTGTGTTTGGAATGTGATTAATGTAGGCTCAGTTTAATTGCCTGGGACTTGTTCTAAGAAACATCCCTGCTAGCTTATTACTTGTACAATGTTTGCAAACTTCCCAACCCCCACGTGACAAACTGATCCTTCCGTACTTGTATGTTTAGGAAGCATCATTCGATTGGCACAAGACACAAATACTGGTTGAGGATATTCGGTGGCTCTAAGCTGGACTTTTCCATTTCTTTTATAAGACCTGGAGGCAGACAGCACCTCAGATCAGAAACAAGAGAAAGATTGAGAAACGGAATCAGAAACTAGAATCAGTACTTTAAAAACTAGAGAATATTTTCTTTAAAGCTTTGTTTAAATGATTGCTATGGTTACTAGCTCTGTAACCAGGATATTCCAGTTACACGAATAGTAATTGAATTTAGTATGCTTTTAAATTTCAGTCTTCTGCCAAAGAATATATTGAACTGTGTGGGAGTCTTTCCTTGCCATTTGGGCAGCCTTTCCATTTGGTGCAGTCAACACTAGATGGGCTGCTGTGTTGATGGCAGAAGGGGAGCAGCTGCAGACCTTGGTGCACGGCCGGGTAGAACATGGGAACCTAATAATCAGGGCAAAATGCCACAGAAATTTTAATTCACTGCTGCAGGCTGCACGGCAGCCACGTTGGTTGGAGCAGAAGCCAACTGCAGAGTAAGGGATGAAAAGTTTTATGGCAGTTCTTCCTGATGATTTTCTAAGCAGTCCTCACTTAAAAATTGACAATGCTTGTACCTTGTTGAATTTAAATTCCTCTGGCTCTGGTTGGAAGAGTCCCTGTTCCACTTCTTTACCTCTGCCTTCCCACTCATCCTGGAGCTGAAGGGCTGCTCACAGCCAGGGAGATGATGGACCTGGCTCCTTCCAGACCCACTGAACTGGCTCTGCACCTTAGTGCTTGCAGGTACAAGATGCCACGTGGAGAGTCTGAAGTCCTGGAGAGGGCCAGCATGGGTATGACTGAGCTGAATTATTTTGCCTCTGTGTTCTACCTCATCTGTGATATGCTTGTGATGTGCTTCTGAGAACTATTTCTCTAAAAGGCTTGCATGGAAAAGGAAGGCAAAAGAGGAGCAGGACTTAACTGCCCCTGTTGGTGCACATCAGTGTCGTGAGACCTGTTACCCAGGGGAACATAAAGCGTCGTAAGCTTGCTGAAGTTCCTTGCAGCACACAGACATCTGGTGAGGGTCCTTGCTTCCTCAGTTGTGCACTGGAGCAAGATCAGTGGGAGCACACTGTCACTGCCGCGGTGTGACTGCTGAGTGCAAAGTGGTGTGCCCATGGAAGTGGAGCAGCTGTGCAGCAGGCGGAGCAGGATCGCCCACCCATCTTTCTGCTTCTGTGGGAAGATCCTAACAGAAGTAGGTCTCAGGAGCTGCCAGTTTGTGGCTGGAAAAAATGAGAAATGAGCCGGTTGCAGCAGAACCAGGAAGCCAAGCTGGGATTTTGGCGTAGTTGCCCTCTGTCTCCCGAAGTCTGTGTAAATGGGGTTGTGCCTGTTTATGCCAGAAGATTTGTGCTAGTGCTTTGGATAACTTCAGAGTACAGGTGTTGCTGAGAACAAGCACTGTACAAATTAGTCTAGTCATGTGTTTTGAGATCTCTCATTAGCAAGGAATTCTTAATAAGAATTATAATATTAATGAGAGTTTATCCTCTAAATCCCTTTCACAGGAAGAAAAGAATCAGAAAATTGACTTATACGGTAAGGTGAGGACATTTGGCTGAAGGCTGAAGGCATGAAAGAGGTGATGGGAGAATTAACATTTCAGTTCCTCGGTGGAGAGCTTACAGCAGAACAGGGCTGGAGGGAGGAATGCTCTGACTCAACAGACTGGGGAATTAGCAGGACAGGTGGCATTTGGTTAAGACTAGGAGAGCTTCAATCAAGATGTTTGATGACTACTTTACTTGCAATATCAAATTTAGCTGGGGAGGAACCACTGTCAAGTACAAATAGCTGCTTCCACTGGTCTCTCTGTCTTACCATTATGGTCACTAGAACTGGTGGGAGTGACTGCCCATGGCACTGGGCACAGCCCAATGCAAGGTTACCATGAGAGGGGAGTTTGTGTATTGCAGTCAGCTTTTGGTGAGGATGGTGTCTGCACATTGTCACTCTCCTCCATGGGGGTGGCAGCGTTGTCTTGACCTTACTGGAGGTTTGTAATTTGTGTGGATTTTGCCGTGCTTCATGTCTGACCTCTGATGAAAATGTGCTGGCAGAAGAGGAGCACTGGAGTGTCCTACCCTGCTTTGCTGCTGTTCTGAGAGCATGGCTGCCCTCATATCCCTTCACCACTCAGCTGCCATGTCTGTGCAAACACACACCTACACCTTAAGCAGCTGGACTTTTCCAGGCCAGATTATTATTCAGTCCTCTCCTCCTGCTGTGCTCAGCTGCTGACTAGTGGAAATGCAGTTCTGTGAGCCAAGTCAGAGAGAGCAGGCCAAATTTTAAAGTGGGTGTGTATAATCTTCAGAAAAAATACCGTGTAACTGTGAACTCTATAATTTTCCTCTGATTGTTTTGATGGAGGTCAAGGCACGATAAACATGCATGTGAAAACTTGCACTGGTTTAACCACATCAAATTGAAAATGTACAGGCATGAACAAGACCCAGAGATGTCAGTATTGCACTTTTCAAAACCTGTATATTGTGGTGGTGAGGAC